CCAAGGGGGTCACACGTCTTAAAAGACAGAACTAACCCCTCACCCCAAGAGGCCCAGAGCCTGTCCTGTCTCCTGGAGCCTCATCAAGGTGGGAGGGTGAGAGGTGACACCACAGAAAGGAAACAAGACTGACCTGCAGATGCCTGCATGGTGTGCATCAAACTGAAGACTTAAGGGAAAGGTACAAGAAAATTTGAAGCACAGGCCCAACGAAAATGCCGCTGCCCCATTAACTATGTACTCTGCATGGCCGGGGACAGGAGGGGCCTCTGAGAGACTCGGAATGGAGGGCTTTAAATGCAGTCATGGCCTCTCTCCCCAGGCCTCGTACTCTGCGTTTCCAGCCAGCCAATACAGGGGTCTCACGCCCATCAGAGGCAGGGAGCCCCTGCTCCTAGCATAAGTGTATTGTTTGAACGGTTCTTCTTTTAAAAATGAAAATGAAAGGTCAGAGGAAATAACTCTGGTAAGGAAGGGTAGAGGGAGGATGAGCCTTGCCCATGGCCCCCTCCTTGCAGTGACCTTTCCCCTACCTGGGAGGCAAGGAGCTCAACCCCCAGTAATCCAAGAGCCCAACCAGGCTCAGAGAGAAGGCAGAGAAGCCAAGTGGGCCTGGTCTGCTAGGAACCCAAACCGCACCCAGCCCCTCTCTACCAAGTCTGACTCTGCTCCACCACCTCTAGCCTCAGTTCCTGGACCTGGTCCTTGCCTTGCTCAGACTCATCTTCCCAGCCTGCAAAATAGGGTGACCTGCCCCCCGGGGTGACAGGAGTGGGACCACCTGGTGGAGACCTTAAGCCTGTGCCTGGGAGCTCAGGAACGCCGCCTAGGAGGAGGCTCAATACCTCATCCTACCCCCCACCCCAAGTCCACAGCACCCAGGATACCTGCACCTGCCACCCCTACCCGCCACCCGCCAGACTCCAACAGGATGGCCTGCATCCCTTCTCTGGGCCTGGAAGGCCAGCAAACACTTTGGGCTGGGCCCATTTTCCAGATGAGGAAACTGAGGCCCACAGACTTTTGAAGGCCCCAGGTGTACACTGGCAGGGCCCCCACCAGACCTTTCTACAGGACTTGTGACACGTAGCCCAGATGGGGCAGGAAGGTGGCACAGCATCAAGGGACTACAAGGGCTTCAGTCTACCCATCTTCTAAGGGTATTCCATGAAACCACCAGCTGGCTCCAGAGACCACATCCCCTAACCACTGCAAACTCAGCCTCTGCTCACACTCCTCACTGCACCCTCCACAGCCTGTAGACCCCTGCACCCCCTAGCTGGGCCCCCAACAGTCCCTCCCCACACCTGGTGTCTAAGAGGCAAATCCTACCCCCTCCATACCCTGCTGAAAACCCTCACAGACACCCAGTTACCCCTGTATACCCTTCCTAGGACTGGTCCCCAAAGGGGACCACCCCAGCTATCCTTTCCTTCCAGCCCTGTTGCCTGGCCCCGTCCACTTGCGGCCCGCCTCAGACACTGGATGCTACACTTCCCCAGCCTTCCTTTGGCTGGACCCCTGCACCCCTCAACCTCTGGTGCATTTTTTTTCTCTGCACCCTGCATGATACTATCTTTTTTACTATGTACAAATAAATCTCAGAGGAGAGGAAAAACAACAGAAAAAACAAAGGGAATGGATTTGATGCAAGCAAGATACAAAACAAAAGCAAACCCTATAGGCTCACTGGACAGTAGAGAGGCAGACCTGCCCATCAGTGTTCGCCCAACACTCCCAGCTCACTCCCCAGCCCCAGGCAATGCTCTCTCCCACCTCTAACACACAGGGGGTACATGGCCTGACCTAGACAGCCTGTCCTCCCAGCCCATGCCTCCCCCAGCCTGCCTGGCCAGTGTGGGTGAGAACAATCCTTGCTTGTTAATCTTTTATCTGGAACCTTGGACCACAGGATCATCCCTCCCATCCTCCTTTCTGGAGCCAACATGGCCCCCAAACCCTGACCTCACCCGCTGAGACCAGGTAAATAAGTTACCTTTTATGCTGGCTGTGACTGTGGACAATAGGTACAGTGGGGAGATGGGGGGAAGCAGGCCACTGGACCAGCCCACTATGGGCCTGGGTCCCTGTGGGACTAGAAAGTCGCTTCTGAGTCTCAGTTCTGAGTCTCAGTTTCCCCAAGTGGAAAGAGGAAACCGCAGGAGGAATTTCTCAAAGAGAAACTAAAGAGTGACGTGTACAGAGGTACTCTATGGAGAGTGGGACCCCCCAAGACCGCAGCAGTGGGGACAGCCACATGCAGAAGGCCCATGCCCAGGTCGTGTGTCCTGAGGCAGGTGCAGGGTTCAGAGCTACTGCAAGCCTGGCCCTTGGGAGACCCGGGTCTCCCAGGCACTTCCCTGACAGCAGGTCAGCTCACACACCCAGAATATATATTCTCCTCCAGAACATAACCAGGTAAATTCCAAACCAAACCAGGAAGAGCGCACTTCCCCATTCCCCCCAAATCTCTCAGGGGAGAACATCGAGGCTCCAAGGAGCCTCGTTCATCCAGCAGCTCTGCCTGTACCATGGTGGGAGGCCAGAGCTGGGCCTTAGGGGCACATAAGCCACATTTAGATTCCCACCTACACCCTCTGGGCTTTGGTCTCCTCCATGAAATGGGCCCAGGGCTGGCCCAGTGGCTGGGCGGCAGGAGTGAAGCGAAGAGGCTGTCCACAGAGCACGTCCTCACCCACCCAGCAGTCCTCCTGCTGCCCCCTTTCAGGGGCATGGGGGAGGGTCACCTCTGGCCACTGGTCTTCCTCTGGCAGGGCCGTGTTCCTGGACAATCTCCTCCATCAGGGAGTGCTGGAGCTGCCCTGGGAACAGGGCCAGGGACAGGCCAGGGGCCTAAGGGCAGTGGGAGGGTGGCCTCCCAGTCAGCCATTCAGAGCAAGGCCATAAAAATTTAAGGCCTTGCTCTGAGCCGGCCTTCCCCCACCTGCCTCTCCCCGGTCATCGTGCACGGGAGATGAGGGGAGAATCCTAGGACTCTGTGTCTGACTGGACTCTCATAGCTCCTCTAGGAAAAGCAGAATAATGTGCCCATTTTACAGACTGCAGGAAAAACACCCACCCCATTGCTGTGTTTTACACAGTGCCAAACTGTCTCTAAAGACCCCCACACCCATCACTTCACTGCCCCACAAGGAGAGGTGGGTGCACATTTCAGAGCCCAAGAGACTGGGGCCATGGGGCAGAGGAGTGGATGAGTCAGCATTACCTTGGAGCAGAACCATGCAAGGGTGGGTGCACTGGGCCCTCCCTGGCTCCCCCTGGCCTGTCCACAAGCCTGGGGCAGGTATACAGGGCCCACCACTTAGCACATGGAGAAACTGAGGCACAGAGATAAAGAGACGCACCGCAGGTCATTGTGTGTGGGGGGGTCCAACCCTAAGTTCCTGGGAAGGACTCACAGGCTGGGACCCACAGGGCTCACATCTGGGAGGAGGCTGAACAGCAGCCGGTCAGAAGTAGGGCTGGGGCCAGGCTTGGCAGGCCAGAGGGCAGGAACTGGATTCTGAGACCCTCTTTCCCCCAGGAGAGTCCTCTGCAAACAGCCTTTTGTATGTAGTCAGGGCCTCCCCTTCCCTGTCCTTGGCTGACCTTGGGCAAGTCCCTCCACCTCACAGTGGACACTCACCTCCCCAGGCAGTGCTGCACAACTTGCACACACATTGTCCTCTTCACACACGGGGCAAAACACCAAATTCAGGATTGGGCATCAGGCTGCCCGAGGGAGTCAAAGAAAATAAACCGACCCCACCACACCAGGGGCAGTATCAGGTCTTAGCTTCCACACCACCAAGCCACATGCCTCTGCTTTGTGACTTACTTCCCTGGGCCTGTTTCCCCATCTGAGAGGAAGCCAGCATTCCCCCCAAGGTGGCAGGTGTCACTGTTTTAAGCATGACTGGCTGCATCCCGGGTGTGTGTGTGTGTGTGTGTGTGTGTGTGTGTGTGACCTGTGCCAGCCTGCTCTTTCAGGCCCAGCTTCCACTTGTGCAATTCAGCGCCTGGCCTGGGGCACAGCTGTGCAAAGACCCTGAGGTTTAAAGGGGAGCAGACAGTGTGCCCTAAAGTGAGTCTCCAGGAACATCTGCGGCTCAAGGTCCGGCTTTATCTTTGTTTCTAAAAGGGTTAGATTTTAGACGCATTCATGGAGCAAGGCCGACATTCGAATCCGGGGCTTCAGCTGCAATCCCCCTATCCGAGCAAGGCAGGAAGGTGAACCCCCTACAAAACAATCTCGAAATCAAACATTGAAGATAACAGCCAGCCCACCCCTCCTTCCGGAGACCCCGGAGCCTCACCACAGGCTCGGCTGCAGCGGGACCTTGAGCAGTCACTCCCCTCTCCCAGGTTCAGTTTCCCCGCCTGTGATGGGGCTGGGGAGCTAGCTGAGGATCCAGAACACCTCCCTAGGTGAGGCCAGTTTCGATTTCCCCACGTCCGTCACACCGACATCCCCCGCACTGAGGCGGCCCCCACTGGGAAAAGGCGCGCACCTGGGTTGGCGGGCAGCTGGACGCCGCCGCCTGGTTTCTGGCCGCTTGCCGCTGGGCTTCGGCTCCGCTGGGGCGCCTGCTGGGCGGACGGAGAGCGTCGGGGAGGTTTGTCCTCCGACTGTGCGCCTCACCGCGGCAGTGCCGCACCCACCGCCCCCGCGCAGGGCTGTGCCCCCCGCGCCTCAGCTTCCCCGTCTGAGAAATGGGCGCAGAGCCCCGCTCGAGGTCTGCGGCCTCGGCCCTCACCTGTGCAGTTCCCCGGGGCGGGCGTGGCGTCCCCCATGCGCCCCCCAGGCCTCGCCCTGCGGCTGAGGGTCGTAGCCTCCTCGCGCATCCCTGCGCGCTCCGCGGCGTTCGGCCAGCCTGCCGCACAGGGGCCAGCGGGGGCGGGGCCGCCCGGTCACGCCCATCCAGGGTTGAGGGCGGGGCCGACCCCGCAGGAACCCAAATCCCCGAGGGGCGAAGCCAGCAGACCGGGAAGTCTCGCTCCAGGGCTTTGCGTAGGTGTTAACCTCTGCCCCTCTGCGCCTCCGACCACCAGGGCCCCCCACAGACCTGGTGTTCTCGGTGAGTAGCACATGTGAACCCCATCTGCGTCACTGTGGGTTAGGCCCTCTGTGGTGGGTGTCGATATTGTAGGTCCTAGTGAGGGACCTCCGAGTCGTGGGGGTCAGGATTCAGACCTCCAGGGTCTGGCCCTGGCCTTACACACCCGGAGGGCCTGCCCTCTCCTTGCTCCTCCTACCCAGCTCCCTCTGAAGGGGCCCCTGGCTAGGCTCAGAGCTGCGGCCCGCCCCTTCCTCTTCCTAGGACCCCACCCAGCCCAGGCGCAGCACCCCGCCCAGGCCCAGGCAACCACTGAGGGAGCTCTCAGACAACAGACTCAATAGACGCCCCCCCTCCCCCCCACTCCCCGGCCAGGGCATCTCAGGGCAGCTCCTGATCAGATGACCAGCCCGGTAGAGCTGAGGGAACGTAAGTGGAGGATTCCTGGGTCTATCTTCGTTTGCAATCCTAGTCTAATAATGGATCCTTATGTCTATCTTGGTCTACACTATCTATTCTAATGGTGGATCCCTGGATCTATCTTGATCTCCACTACCTAGTATAATGGAGACTCCCTGGGTCTGTCTTGGTCTGCACTTCTAGATTAATGGTGGATCACTGAGTTTATCCACCATTAGACTAGGTAGTGGTGACCAAGATAGACATATGGCTCCATCATTAGACTAGGAGTGCAGACCAAGATAAATCCAGGGATCCATCCTCAGAATAGGTAGTGGAGAACAAGAGAGACACATGGATCCAACATTTGAGTACAGACCAAGATAGATACAGGGATCCTCCATTAGACTAGGTAGTGGAGACCATGATAGATCCAGGGGTGCACCATTAGCATAGGTAGACCCAGGGATCCTCCATTACTAAGTAGTGGAGACCGATATAGACACAGGGATCCACCATTAGATTAGGAGTGCAGGCAGGCTAAGATAGATCCAGGAATGCATCATTCGACTAGGAATGGAGACCAAGGTAGACCCTGGGACCCTCCATTGGACTAGGTAGTAGAGACCAAGATAGATCCAGGGATCCAACAATGGGCTAAATAGTGGAGACCAACCTAGACACAAGGATCCACTATTAGACTAGCAGTACAAACCAAGATAGACCCAGGGGTCAAACATTAGACTAGGAGTGAATACCAAGATAAATCCAGGGGTCCACCATTAGGCGGTTAGTGACAGAGAGAACAACTGATGCAAGGCCTTGAGATCTTAATTCTTTGGAAGCTTGAGGTATAGCCAGAAGTCCAGTGTGCTCACCCCTGCAAGTCTGTGAGGTGGCCCAGCTGGACAGGCCTGGCTCTGGAGTGCCTGGCAGGTGGCAGCGAAGAGGTAGGTGTCTTGTGGGACAATAGAGCAGGGTTCCAGCAGGCCAGCCCCTCCCCACCTTTGCTTTCGTAGCCTGGTAGAAGCTGATGTTCAGTGCGATACATAAGGGCCCTGCCCTTTCCTGGGTCAGAGTTGTTTCAACCCATAATATCTAATTCCCACTTCAGACTTGTGGGTCACACATAATGACTTTCTTCATTTCCCTTGATGTGAACCAAGCATGTATGTCCCATCTGCCACATCAGGAAGCCGGGTGAATCCACAGGACCCACTGTGATCTGCCCCCTTCAGACCACACTCAGGGACATGGGACCCCAGAATTCCCTACCACATGGCCCCGTGCCTACCTCTGGGGTCTTGTGACCTTCTCATTGGCTCTGGTCTTTTGTGCACACCACTGTACCCAGGACAGCTGCCTGTATAGGTGCATGAGCAGGGCTGGGAGGGGAGGTCTGGTGTCGCCCTTGAAACTACAGGATAGAGCTGGTGGAAGCTGCCTGCGGGCTGCCTACAACACCACACGCTGGCCCAGGCCTGGTATGTGTATGCATCCTGGGGCTGCTGTAACGAGGTACCACAGACTGGTACTTTAGGACTACAAAAATGTGTAATCTCAGGGTTCTGGAGGTCAGAAGTCTGAGATCAAGGTGCTAGCAGGGCTATGCTCCCCCTGAAGGCACTAGAAAGGGTCTTCTCCATGCCTCTCCCCAGCTTCTGATAGTTTCTTGGCAATTTTCATACAGCTGTTTTGTCCCTTTGTGCATATCTGTCTCTGTGTCCAAATTTCCCCTTTTTATAGGAACGCCAGTCCTATTGGAATAGGGCCACCCTAATGACCTCACTTTAACTTGATTGCCTCTATAAAGACCCTATTTCAAAATAAGGTCATGTTCTGAGGTACTGGGGGTTAGGACTTAATCACTTGAATTTTGGGGAGGGCAAATTTCAGCCCATAACAGCCTATAACATAACAAGAACGAGACAACATGTTTTCTTGGCCATCTGTGGCATGGTTACACGTTCTGGGTATTCAAGCATGGGGCGCTGGCCTCCGTTTGTACCGTTAGGGAACTGGTGGTGGCCTGAGACTTCTGTTACACGCTACAGGAAACTCTACACCTCGTTCTACCTCAGAACACCCACTTGTGTCAAAGACATCTTCAGAAGCAGTGGTAGGCACTGGGTTTGGTTCTGGAGGTGGAACCTCAGTCGTTACGAACCTTGATCTGGACCACCCCATCTACCTTTTCTGGGACTTCTTGGAACAGCGTGCTCCTGGAGAGCACCAGCAACACCTACCATGGGTAGGGAGGGAAACTGAGGCCGGGGAGGCGAAGGCACTAGTCTACCACAGACTCAGACCGCTTGGGCCGCCACCTCGCCCCCCATCCATGTCAGGGATCGTGGTTCTGACAAGCATCCCGTGCCTGAGCGTTAGTATTCTCATCTGAGGGATAGAAAAGATCCTGCCACCCTCCCAAGGTGAGGGAGACTGTGACATGGTCAAGGATGGAGCATCTCCTGAAAGCTGGGTTACACAGGCCCTGCCAGTGTTTGGACTTGCTGCCATCCCTATCTGCCCCGCAGCTCTCCAAGTCCTGGCCCAGACTGGGAGCAGTGCCTGTGCTATGCCAGGCTGGTGTCTCCTGGCCCTCAGGCCTTGGCCACCTACTCAAGGGAGCCCTCCCTAATGCCCTTCCTGGACAAAGCCATTCCATGCTGCATGACCTCAGGCCTGTGAAGCAGACAGGACATAGGGCTCCCTGGTGGAGGCAATGGCGAAGAGGCAAGAAGCACTAGCAGAGACACTTGAGGAACTGACCGAAGCCTTGGCCTCTCTGCATTTGGGGGTCTAGCCCCTACCCCATTACCTCTTCCCCATCTGCGTTGGTATCTGGGAGCACAAACAAACATTTGTTGAATAAATGAACTGGCAGGAAGGAACCAGGGAGGTTCGTGAAGGGGGAGGGGTCTGGAAGCTCTAGGTCTTGGTGTTCTGCTCTATAAAATGGGCTTACACACATGCTACCAGGGACTTAGAGGGGATGATGAAGATCTGGCTTGGGGGTCTCCTCTTCCCTCAAGGCTTAGCCTGTCCCAGAGAGCCTTCCTCAACTTGATTGTCCTGACACAGCATCCACAGGCCATGGTGGCGGGGTGGGGGGGGGAGGCGTTGGTCATTGGTGTGTTTCCCTCACATTGGATAATCACTTTAGAAATGTAAAATGCTTTTTGTTTTTCTTTAAGTGTTCCTCATTTTTTCCACCACTCAATATAAAAATAAGATTTTTATCCTAAAAACCTCTCATAAAGGACCAAATCCAGAAAATTCCATCCCAAAACAAGAGTCAGGGAAGCAGGGTGGTCTCATGGGCTTTGCCTCTTTTTTAAAAAAATTATGTTTTTAAATTAAGAGCGATTATTTTAAAAAGTAATCTAAACTTGTAGCTCCAACGAGCTGGGTATTTGGGGAGGGAATTTTCCCCAAAATATTTTCTGCCAGGCTGTTTGGCATCCTCCACACACACTAGTCCTCTGGCTGCTCCACAGGAAAGCAAGAGCTGGTCCTCTTCTGTAGGGAACCCCTGGCTGGAAACCCACTCCCCACCAGGGCCCAGGCTCTGACCACTGGGATGTCCTCCCTGGCCCTAGGTCTGTACAAGTGAGGCTTTCCTTGGCTTTCAGGAGGGAGACAGGTGAATCACCCTAGGTGACATCAAGCCACCACCCACAGGTTCACAGTGATGGCTTGGAGACATGTAGCAAGGAAGCTGGAAGGAGGCAGGCCTATGGGCTATACGCTTTCCTAGGGGGGCAAAAGCAGGTGGTGGATTCACAGAACAGATAGGACCAGGCCCTCCTGAATGCCAGGCCTGCTCAGCAACCAGGACACAGGGGGCACAGGAGGGGCAAAGGCTGATGGGCTGCTTCCAGGGCTCCTCCTCCACCTCTGGGCAGCCAGACTATGGGTCAGTTTTTCCTGCCTCTTGACTCTTCTCTGAGTTGTCTGAATCGTTTACAATAAGCACGAATCTATTCTCTCACCAGAAAGCAGGAAACTCATAAAGATTTTAAGGGTGGGATACATGTAAATGATAACACACATTCACAGGACAGTTCTGAATTCTACCTGTCAGTACAGATATGGACTGGCCCCTCATTAGCAGATGGGGAAGCTGAGGCTCAGAGAAGTGGAACTGTCCTATCTAAGGCCATTTGCCAGCTAGGAGGATGCCTCATGACTGTGGTCTGAGGGCTCACTCATAATGATAGGGTTTGGCTGTGCCCCCGCCCCTGCCGGGTCGGGGCAGGGGTATGTTTTCACAGCCAGAAGTTTTCCTAGGTAAGCCTGGGGTAAGAACTACATAGGCGGGTCCAGGGCAATCCAGAGGCTTCGTGGTTATGAGCCAGTTAAGCTTCTTTGATGCCATGCACCTGCGCAGCCAGCTTGGCGGGAGCCTGAGTCCCCAGTCACAGAAGTATGAGAGCCTGCCTCCCCCTGCCTAACACAGACCCTGTGGCCTCTCGGCCCTCATCAGCCCCTCAGGCTCAGGGCATTTTAGCTACTTCTGCAGCCTGCTGGTTGACTTTGGGTAAGCCCTGCCCCCTCTCTGGGCTCCTGTCTCCTTCCCACCTCCTCCCAAGCCACACCTGCCGAGGCTGTGGCTCAAGGGC